TATGTAATATATGTACACATATATGTAAAAAATATAGTTTTAAGGTATGCAATGTTTATTGGTAAAAGTATCAGGGATAGAGTTTATGTAAATATGAAAGTGGGCACAGAGATCAATACCAAGCAGTGAGTCTGGTTCAGGCTTGAACACAATCTTCAGGCCTGAAGACTGTGTTCAAATATGAAACTTTCACCACTTGGTTTTGACTTCAGTGTCCACTTATATATTACTTATCTCACCCACTCCACCAAAAAAAAAAAAAAAAAAAAAAAAAAACAATATCTAAAGTGTAAAATGAATTTTTAAAAAAGAAAAACCATCCTTAAAGCTTTTATTTTAGTTTTAATTTCAAGCTAACAGATTAAATTTTATATTTCCATTAAGCAAAATACTTTGCTGTATTTCGAAAACTAATTTAAACCTAGTTTAAATTGGCTGGAAGGAGTTTTTTTTTTTTTTTTTGCTAAAATAGCTGATTAGCACCCTTTTTAGTCATCTTTCGACACAATGTAATTCTCTTTATTAAAAAATCTTCCAAAAATTTTCAAACACTCAAATTAATCTGATTTGAAACAAATATTATTTAAGTTTAAAATATCTCAGACATGCATTTTTTAACCTGATAGTAGCTGTTTATTTAAGGTGTCCACTAGTTTGACAGCTTGATGATGGACTGATATTTATCTAATGTTGTTCTATGTGGGCTTTAGATGTTAAAAAAACTAACTGAATTAACATCTGTACATTTTATATATAATTTTTAAGTACTCAGTAATCTCAAAGATTTAAGAAAATATTCTTTATAATCTAATTTTTTATTGAATTTTAAACATTTTTGGCTGTAAATTTACTATAGTTATCATTCTTATTTTTTGATAATGTTGCGTATGGTCAACCGTATATAGAAAATACGCACATTTAGATATATAAAAAAAGAATTTCAAAATTCTTTAAAAAATATTGGTGTCTGATGATTCGGACTAAACTTTTCAATTTATGTTTAGTAAATATAATTTTCACTTAATAATAATATCCTCTAAAAGAGTTAAATTAATATAGAATTTTAAAAGATTAAAAAATATTTAAAAATTAATAAGTTATTCTGATTAAAATGTGAAAGAAAATGAAAATTAATTATACATTGAATTAATTGTTATTCTGAAGACAACAGTGCCCTGAATATAATTTATTTATAAAAATAATTAAAAAGTTTTCTAATTAAATAATTAGATAGTTTTATTACATTTTTTATTTTACAATTTGAAGCAGATTTTCAGGAAAGGAGTATTAGTTTGAAAAAAGAAAAGTATTGATTTACATTCTCCAAGGAGTCTTATTTTTAACTAATATAAATATGAAGAGGCTCAAAATTTAGTTTTTGGAAATTTCATTAATTAAGTGGGTGGGTAACAGATGTAAAAAAAAGTATTTCTACCAAGATTTTGACGTCCTGAAGTTTCATTAAAATCCAACAATTATTTGATTTTTGCAAGAATTTCCAAATCAATGTGTTTTTTTGCTGCAAAAAAGATGCTAAAATTTCCTTTATTAATCTTTGCTACCCCTGCTGACGCAAGAAAAACAAGATTTTTAACAAAAATTTTGAACTTGTTAGAAAGGATTAAAAGATTTAATAAATTAATCAAAAAATACTTTGATCTTTCTACTTAAGTCTTAATAATAACAAACATTTTGATGATAAAATTTTCTTTTTATCAAGTTTGGGCATTTTTTTTACATCATGGTAGAAAATCTTTGGAAGTGCCTAATATCACACACTCATATACAGACTCACAAATTACTCATGGAATTATTTCCATGTATCTGCACACATTTATAAATTATATCACAGCATATAAAATAAAATACTGTTTATTCTACTGGATAAAAAGAGAAAAAAATCCCTGAAACTTAACACACCCCTGCACCTCGTCTCCAAACTCATCTCTTTTCGCAATATCTGTTGCTTTCCAAGTTGAAAAATTATTTGTGTAAGTTGGCATTTATATTTTCCATTGAGATTAAAAATTATGCCCAATTTATTTCATTTTAAGCTGGGCAATTTTTGGTCCTCACTCCCAACCCCAAATTTTGATACATCAGTCACCACACTCTCTTCTTAACCCACAATTGCTTTCCCTTTTATTTATCATTTTACTTTGTGAGTGAAAAGAAGAGGGTGAAAGATGAAAGAGCACCCCGCCCCCAAAAAAAACAACAATTTCTGTTTGGTGAAAAGCAACTTAATTTGTTTGAAGAAAAGAAAAAGCAGATTAATTATCAAGATAGAAATAATAATAAATAAAAGAAGGAATAATAATGGAAATAAATTTGAAAAAACAATAATCCTCTGATATAAAACACAAAGTCTAATTTTTATAACAAAAACTTTTCACAGTGCACACAGATACTACGCTCTGATCTGAGACAGACATGCCAAGCAATCTACAAGTGATTCTCCTTCTTTTTGAGATGCAGGAATACTCCAAAGAAGAATCTGCAACCTTATTGGTACAGACCTGTCATCTCGGCTTCAGTTACTTTCCCACTGCCGAAACATAGCTTCCCTATGCTTTTTCTATAAATATTTTCATGGTGAGAGTTCTGATGAACTTTCCTCCAGTTAACTGATTTTTCCTGCCACAAATTAGGACAGTGTTTTTGTTTATTTCTAACACTATTTTGTTTACTTTCTTAAATTGTATTCATCATAAATATTCATTGGGGTTTCATTTTTAAATAGTTATTTTTATTCCCCCCACCCCAGACAAATTGTACATATGGGTATGAGTTAGTACTACATAGAGACTATGAGGTATTATGGTGACTGTAGTAAGAATGGTAAGTAAGAATGTGCTATTTTGGTGTAAGGAATACTGTGCTGTGTGTGCCAGTAATCGTGGCTAGCTAAGATAAGAGAGATTGAAGTCTAGCCTTTCCCTTTTGGCCTTGAGCCACATTTTTGTATTTTCAAAATAAATAATACTTTCCTCCATGGCACCTTGACTTAATGAATTTAAGTGTTGTACTAGGTTAGCAGGAATGTGTCACCAATTTAACTATGTTAACAGTTTCTTTTCTCAGACATCTTGCTTGTGGAACTCTCTTCCAGCTTCTTTCCAGCCAACTTTGAACTTCAAAAGTTTAAATCCAATGTCAATCATTATGTACTATCTTCTTGATTACTATTCTTTAATTGTTCTCGCTCCTGAATAATGTTTCTCATTTTTTATTCTCTCACACTCAGTAACTGCTTGTCTCTTAGTGGTTTTATTGCCTTGCATGGGGTGAAATGATTAACAAAAAAACTCATAATATCACAAAGCTGATGATTTGCACATGGCTTGCAGGGGATAAATTTTGAATCTAAAAGTTTGAAATTACCCAGGTATTTCAGTCGTCAGTACTTTTGCTATGGTAACAGATATGAAGTATGTAAAGCCATTTAACACAGAGTGATCTTGAAGTCTGTTCTCCATATGCACTAAAATATAATATTGTCACTCATTTCCATTGTGTATAGAATGGCTTGAAAAGAAAGTGTGTAGAGTGTGTTCGTCTCTCCACACCACAGAAGTTCCAGTGATGGCCATGGCTTGTGCAGCAATTTTTAGCCAAAGACAACATTTCCCAGGTCTGACAACCACCATATTCCCCTGATCTCATTCCTTTCAACTTTCCTCTTCAAAAATCAAATCTCACTTGAATGGAACAAGATTTCAAGACATCAAGAAAATCCAAAGAGAATGTGAAAAAAGGAGTTCAAAGAATGCTTCTAGAAATGGAAATGATGCTGGTTAAAATGTGTGGCTTCGAAATAGATTAAATGCTCAATTGATATATGTTATAGTTTTCTTTTTATAGTACCAGTCTCTTTTGTATCAGACCTAGTATGTAGAAATATTAAGTTTATTATTGGAAAATTTACTAGATAATTCAATGATTCTTATTTACGCTTCATAGGAACTGTTTAACTCTTTGACAGATTAATTGACACATTAAAATGTATTACTGAGTATGTCTTGTTAGCATCTCACCCCAAAAATATGAAAATAAGATTTAAAATGAAAATTAGTAAAAGAAACACAAAATGGCGAAACATCAAGTTCATTTCTATTCTTTAATATCATGAAAAATTAAATATTTTACACAAAAATATGTATGACATTCAGATCTTAATGGATAATATTGTACAACTTTTTTTTTTTAAATTATATCAGGGTAGCTATACTATGAGATCATATACTCAAGGATGTAATTTATTACCTGTTTTTAGCTTCAGCAACACGGGATCATATTATACTCATAATATTATACAAAAGAAAATACACTAAATTTTCTCATTTATTTTGAAAAAAAAAAAATGATAGTAATGATTTTAGATAATTAATACATTTCACTTTAGTCAAATTGCCATAGACTGACACTAAGAAGACAAATTTAGTCTTGTTTAGTTTTCACTGGAAAAAATACTGCTTCCCATAGCATCAGGAATACAGCAGTCATATTCATCATTATCAGAGCATTTGAAACAGTCACGAGGAACTTTGTAAGAAGAACTAAAATATGAAAATCATTGAAATGACTACATTATAAAAATCAACAAAAAAAACTTAGTGTTAAAATATGGAGAAGACTTGCCGTCATTTGATCTCCATTTAAACTTCAGATAGTACCAATATTGAAAGTCAGTGATAATAACAATCTACACCTTTAGATTTTGTCATCATAAACAAGGAGTAAATTTCTTCGATAGTGAATGTTGTTGCTCCAGCAAATTGTAAACTAAAATCCTGGAAAGAAAGCAAATACAAAGTTAAGCAAAGTATGAAGAAACAGGAAATTTTCACTAGAAACAAAGAAAAGAGTACTAAACTGTTATGTAATATCAGTCCTCCTATATGCCAATGAATGCTGGACAATCTCCTCCCAGATGAAGGAGAGACTTGAGGTAACAGAAATATGGTTCTACAGAAGGATGTTGAGAATATGATATTGCTTATGGCCATATCATATTGAAACACTGGTTCCTGTATGATCATCAAAGTTAAGCAATGTTGAGCCTAGTCAGTACCTAGATAGGTGACTGCTTGTGAATACCAAGTACTGTAAACTTGAATGTGCAGTTAGTGTAATAGATAATGGCTCAGAATTGTTAAGTAGAGAGCCAAGTTCAAATTCCAGTTGGGTTCATTATACTCACTTACATGCAAATACTCTGAGGAAAGGTATGAATCTACCTCTTCTCCCCAAAACTATGGGTTAATTAGCATAACTTATATCAGTAAATCATTACTATACAAAAAACATCTTACAATCTAAAAATATTTTCTGGCTTTAAATAACTTTCAAAGGGTTGATAAGCTGTAAAAAATGTATCCAAATACAATGGATTGAACATGTGAGCAATAACAAAGTTTTAAAGAAAATGTAAACAAAAGGGACATTTACACTTAACATCAAAAAGAGTTGAAATTTCTAGGGCACATAATGAAGAAAGAGAGCTTAGAAAGTTTAACACTCACAGGACATGTTAAAGGCAAGAGGAACAGAAGAAAGCAGTGCATAAACCTACTTTATGAGCCTGTGTAAATGGTTAGCTAAACAGTGATTTGGAGAGATATCAAAGAGAGAAACATTGTTAAGAACTACAAGGGGTGGGAAGTTGTTGAGTACTGTGACCATCCACATCCTGGAGAGACATGGCACATAGAAGAAGAAGAAGAATTAATACTTAGACCTTGCTAGAGAACTGAAAAAAAAAGTAACAACTGTACCCATCATCACTGGTATACTGATAACAACCTTACAAAAACATTTGTAGAATTTGACAAGCAAAGGAGAGCATTACCAAAACCTGCAAGAATTCTGTTAAGAAAGCTGAAATACTGAGGTACCTGCTAACATTTGGTCATCAATGAAAGCCGTCAATTAAAACCAAGATGAAACTCAATGAAACCAACAATAAAATATAAGTAACATTGTTTTTACCATTGCATCATTTCACTCCAAGTAAGGCAATAAAGCTACTAAGATGCAAGGGATAACTGAATGTTAGAGAATATCAGAAAAATGTTCTATTAAGGAGGAAAAATAATAAAAGAACAGGAATTAAGAAGACAGAAGATAATGATTGAGATTGCATTTTTATTTTTAAAGATCAAACTTGACTGTGAAGCATGGAGCTGGAAAGGAGTTCCACAAGCGAGAAGTGTGAGAGAAGAAACTGTTAACATAAAATTTATGATTACATCTAGCCATTTCAACTGTAATATTATAAGACGTTGCTGCCAATTTAGTATTGTACTTAAATCCATAAAGTCTAGGTACCATAGAGGAAAGTAATTTTTAAAATATAAAAATGTGGCACAAGGCCAAAAGAGAGATAGGGGAATGTAGGTCTTCAATCTGTTTTATCTTAAACTTAGTAGCTACAATTACTGACCCAAACATACCACAATATTACTTACACGAAAACAACACATTATTATTTACCATTCTTACTATAGCCACCATAATACATCTATGAAGTCGTAACTAGTTCTCATATGTACAATTTGTTTATGGGTATAGGGGAATAAAATAACAAAATTTAAAAATAAAACCCTAATGAATATCATAGAAGAAAGTTCCTCAGAACAATTACCATGAAAATATTTATAGAAAAGATACAGGGTAGCTATGTTACAGCGATGGGAAAGTGACTGAAGTCAAGATGCCAGGCAACATTACAGATTCTTCTTTGGTTTTTATCAAGAATCTCTACATACATAGCATAGCACCAGACCAGCAATATTCAAAGCATGGATGAATGGTAGACTTATATGTAAGATAATTATGGTTTGAGAGGTAGACTTTACTGTTTCTCTCTCCTAAGCTTGTTGTCACTTAAAAGACAGACAAATACACAAATCATCTTGTGGTTGGACTTCAATCCAAACAACCCAACCAGTACTGATTATTATTGACAGTTTCAAACATACAAATGGGACGTTGCAGCCAAGTATTTTTTTTTCACAGCTGACAAGTCATTCTGTCATAACATAACCTAACATAACATAAAAATCTTTTAACCTTAAATGCAACTCTATCCCACCCTAGTTATTCTCCACATTTTTCTGTTTTATGATCAGGGATTGCAGCTATCATCTATTATTTCAAATTTCTTTTATTTTCTTTACTTTTTTTTATTCTTTAATTTCAAATTATTATTATTTCAGCTTAATTGAATAAGGTATTGGATTATCTCCCTTTGTGAAAAGTCATTTTCAGTTCCATTGATATTTATTATGGCTTTTCACGTTTGCTAATAGCTCCAAGAGATCTTAATTTCTTTGACACGGCCATAAAGAATGTGCAAAAACAAATTGATTGTCGGTCTCAAGATAATCTAAATGTGATTACCAAATCAATTTATCACTCATCCGCTTCTAAGAGTCAACCAGTTAACTTATTGGCATAAATCTATTGCTATGTTTTTCACAAATAAATTCATATCCACTTTGCATTTTTCAAAACTTGCTAAATGATTGATTGAAAATGCTGGGGAAACAGAATGATCAGTGTATCAGTCGTCAGATCAATAAAATCTGAATGTCACGGTTACAAACACATCTACACAGACTAATCCTGACATGGGCTAATTGTCATAGTTTTTAGAAGTTGGTCATGTGGGGGGATCTTTAAGTCGGGGTGTTTGGTTTATTTTGTTTAGTGGCATATCAACCTCTATGGGTTATTTAATACTAAAATCTAAATATTTTGAATGCAATTGTAAGCGTTCAACGACAGATGAAATGTATTGTTGGTAATTTTACAATAGATAAGTATGGTTGGTAACTTTTACAATAGATAGGTATTGTGGGTAATTTCACTACAAATACGAATTGTTGGTAAATTTTTTTATATAAAAATGTATTGCTTGTATTTTCACTATAAAAATCTATTTTTATAGTTACATTGGGGGTGCATTATTTGACCATAGCTGGGACCCTAACATATGCTGCCATCACAGGTAATTGTGAACCTGGGAACAACAGCAATTAAGAGGTAGTTCCCTGCTCCTCAAAACTCCAATCTTCCGATCACAGACCTTGCTGCCGGATGTAGTTTATCATCATACCTAGGACTATTAAGTTAGAAGGCAAGAGTAATAATTTATACACTAAAATTAGTTAATATCATTTTCACAGCAGTGAGGAAATGATAACCTGGGATGTTACAAGCCTCTGGACTCACCTTGACAACTGATACCACTTTGATATACTTCTAAATTTGAGTTTGAGTCACATTACCAAACAAACTATCACATTCTTTTTCATTCATCTGAAATTTGAAAACATCTTTCATAAAACTTCTTTATGTAACTTGCATGATGATGGACAGGGTAAATCAAACAAATATACAAAGACTTTAATTCACTGTAATAATTATAAAATTAGTTTCCCTGCTAATTCTGAGTAAAATTGTGGAGTTGGACAATGAAACAGTAATTTAGTATTTTATTTGAACTCAGTTTTCTGAGACACATGAAGAAAGAAGGCTTAGAGCATTTAACACACTTAAATCATATTGAAAATGAGAAAAGCAGGTAACCTAACTGATAAATTTAAGTTAATGGATAGAGAATGAAGTACTACAATGTCAAAGTGGGTAGCAAAAGAATATCTATTGCTGAGAGTAACAAAAGATAGGAAGTTAGGGAGAGCCATGATCATCCTTGACCAGAAGTGACACAATACACTGAAATAGAGAAAGAAATTCCTTAGCAAGTTTTGAAGGGTTTTAAGAAGTTGAGGGTAACAATAGACATGAAGCTGTGGAGAACCATGATTATATAATTGAAAACCATGTCAATTTTTAATCTTTTTATTTAAATAATAACCGACATTCATATTTACTAACAGAACTTGGGTAAATACCTTTGCTAATAAATTTTTTAATGCTGCTTTTCAACCCATGTCATCTACAAACTGCCTTTATCTAAGATGACCCCTCTCTAATCCCTCTCTATCACACTCTTTTCTCTCTATGACATCTATGCCCTTCTCCCTCTCTGTTGTAACCCCTCACTACAACTGCCTTTATCTAAGATGACCCCTCTCTAATCCCTCTCTATCACACTCTTTTCTCTCTCTATGACATCTATGCCCTTCTCCCTCTGTTGTAACCCTTCACTATAAACAACTGCCTTTATGTAAGATGACCCCTCTCTAATCCCTCTCTATCACATCCTTTTCTCTCTCTATGACATCTATGCCCTTCTCCCTCTCTGTTGTAACCCCTCACTACAAGTGCCTTTATCTAAGATGACTCCCCCTTATCCCTCTCTATGTTGCACTCTCTATTTATATATCTATGTCTCTCCCTCTCTCTCTCTTCCTGTTTTACACTCTTTGTCTCTTTCTGTTTCCCCTCTCAGACACATGTCACAGTCTGGGTTTAATAGGATTTTTGATTAGAAGAACATCATCTATTTTTATTATATTAGAAAATGATTGTAATTATTAAAGAAAGATTTTAATTTCGAAAGGTCACTTGCAGTCCATGGGTGAATTTGTCCCCAACAGATCAGTAGGTTACCAATATGATTTAACCTCTCACTACAACCAGCTGCCTTTATCTAAGATGACCTCCGCCACTAATCCCTCTCTTTGTTACACTCACTTTTTGTCTCACCACATCCCTCTCTCTGTTTTAATATGTCACTCTCTCTTTCTGTTTTCCCTCTTAGTATCTGTGATACCAAATGTGACACACCATACAGAGGTATAAGCATATTAAAATATTTATGATATTTGTGATTGTAATATTTTGTTAAAGTTCTTTACAAGACAATAGGAGAATTCCTATTCATATTTTATAGTTATGGATCTTGCAAGGAGCTTATTCAATTGTTAACTTAAGAATTTTCATGGTTATTGTTAGTTATTATTTAAATCAGGTTTTCTGAACGTGTTCTTCCTTGTGGCAAATTTTTGCTGTGGAAAATAAAATTTCAAAACCACAAATGCATTCTATTTATAAAAGCAAAATGTAGTAGAAAATATAAATCCTGACTAATGACTACATTGCTCCTGGTGTCGACACCTATTTAAAATATTTCTTGGGCC